GTACTAAACACACGAATAAAAAAAACTAAATAATTAAAAATGGAAGTTACAAAAACCGACCAAGTGCGAGTCGGACTCGCGCACTCTCTATACAAAATTAGACATTTTATTATAATTATAATCGATCACGTCTTTTGTATGAAAGCTCCCTTTAAAATTTATGTTATTTTAATTACTATGTATAATACGGAATGTAGCAAAAAGCTACATTTTCCGTGTTTGGGTCACAGACATACATGTAACTATGTACCGAATTTCAACTTGATCAGAAGGACAAGCGAGTGAGGATCACTCGTTGTAATGGTTATAATTAGAATTGCAACGAATAGTATATTCGGCAGTATACCGAATACCGAATATTCGGCGAGGCCCCTGACCGAATAGCCGAATATTAGGCATAAGTATTCGGCTGGATTTTAGCGCCAAAAACTTGTACGTGATTGTTTCGCGCTCCTTTGTTTTGATCTAATCTGCCGTCCTCAAGTTAAAATGCGGCTAAATGACAAAACCAACTTTTGAAATATGACCAAAAACGGCGCGTAAACTTTAAATTATTGCTGTTATGTAACCATTCATCACATGACTGAATGAATTAAACACTGTGAACTTGTATAATACAGAAATTGATTAAATTATGTACCTGTTTTATGTAGCAATGACTACTTAATAAATGATTATAAAAGAAATGAGAACCTTACCCTTCTAAATTTTGATTACCACAATAATTCAAATACATAGAATCCTCCATTTTTCCAATTCAGAAGATGATTATGTACCTGTGTTATGTACCAATGACTAACTACTTAAATGATTATATAACACAAATGAAAATATGAATATTACGTAATAAATCGATTTTATTTTTCATTTTACCAATTATTTCTCTATGACATAATATATTATTTAAGTATTCGGTATTCGGCCGAATATAATAAAAGCAGCCGAATAGGCCGAATACCGAATAGTAACCGAATATTCGTTGCAAGTCTAGTTATAATGATTCCGTTTTTGTCGATTGAGATATGAAACCCTAAAAATAACAAATTAAATAAATAAATGCTGTAACACAGCAGCCAGCAACGGATGAAAAATAAAATCATTTTAGTAAACTCATACTCCCTTATTAATAAACGTGGAATAAGCTTACACTACTTACGCCGTGTTTTGTTCATGTCACTCAAATGCTATATATTTGTTATTCAATGAACAGAGACAAAACATGAAGTAATTAATCGAAGCTAATTCTTCGTTTATTAATAAGGAGGTTAGTGATTGCACCGTTAATTGTAATGTTTTACACGAGAACCATGATGATAACAGATCAGCATTTCAAAAATTCGATACCGTGCTGATTGGAAGTGCTCTTTGACTAATGAATATTAACTCGTGGTACCGAACCGACTTAATTTATTCAACTCGCCTAAAATTTTATGCGACTTCCACTGAAATATAACATTTAATCTGGGTGGCAATCTATACCTACATTCATAATTGGACCGCCATTATATCCCTTCCGGTTAAGGGGTTTGCAAAAAAAAACTGTGAAGCATTATTTCCATAACCTTGAGGCCGCGAAATTTAACATCGGTTGGCGTAGTTAAATTTTCCGATTGGGTATGCAGGGTCGTAGCCAGAGTTATATTTAAGATGGGCAGCAGCGGTAATAGAATAAGTCATATTAAGTTGATGTCGATGGTATTTGTTTAAGGTAGAGCATTGCGTTACTATGTCCATAGAGTCTCGATTTTAGTTCTACTTTGCTTGGTTTATTTTATTTTAGAATTAGGCGAAATGAAGCGATTAGGTGAAGCGCTTTCCTGGTATATTTCTTAGAATATTTGGCATTAAATGTATGAATTCAGACAGCTCCAAAAGCTTAAGTATATTCAGTACACGCAACAAAAAAATACCCACTACTATTTAAGCGAATTCACATCTATTTTTCAGGTCCCATTAACTATTCAATTGTATGTATACACAGTATCTTGAAACACAAAAATACAGTGACATTTATTTGACGCATAACCTTAAAATTTTACCGAAAATATTAATATGGCACGTAACCTGCCATCCGCAGGTTGCTACAAGTTTGTATCTGACATAATTCTAATGATATGCTCCACTCTAACATAGTATGAGATAGAAACACTTATTAATTTCAAATGACCATTCATTTCAAATTAAGAAGAAAGAATAGCAAACTATCATTTTGCCTGAATGTTAGTAAGCTGCCACCATATTTGGTGCTTGATCTAAACCCTTCTGTCATGTTAGGATTTTTTGGTAGCAGTGGCATCTTGCATTTTTTATAGTTTGCTATACTTATAAAGGTATCTGGCGACCGTAACTAAGATAAGTAGTTTTTGTATTATTTATTATTTCTCATCTGCAAAATTAAATTAAGCTTAAAATATGGCTCCCGTAATCGCTTAGCAAACACTAAAGACAAAATATTTATGCTTTTGTAGTCTTATAAATGTCTTGCAATAGACAATTTAGAAGAACAATATAATTAGAAGCAAAATGTTGTGTAAAATTAAAGTATACGATATAATAGCATAGTTAACATCACAAATCATCATTTGATTGCGCTCGATTTTCATGTTATTTATACCTTCCATTACTAGATTCAAACCAATTTGGTAAGTGGAAAAAGGACGTAATACCACAATGGTTGATAATAATTCTGGTATTACGCCTTTTTCAGCTCTACAAACATGAAAAGAAAACCAACAGACAGATCTAAATAGTGACGTATCCTTTTATATTCAATAATAACAACAGCATAACTAACTCAGACCATTTATAAAGCCAGGCTGTGAACTATGAATAGTCTCGGGTACAGCATCGCTTATTTGGAATGTAACTCTGTTGGAGTTTGCCTTATATTTAACGTAGTACACTTCGTGGTTTTTCTGAGGTCTCTGCAACTGTTGTTCCTTCTCATGATTTTTAACTAGTACGTATATAAGCGTCTTCTCAGCACCGACCCCGTGATATTGATTTCGCAGCGCTGCATCCAAAATGCCTAGTTTGCTTGTTGTGAAGGGATTTTACTGAGGACGATATGGTAAATCCTTTTCCTGTTGCTTGTTAGGGAAGCCAGTCGCATCTCCTCGTCGTCGTCAGGGGATGCCACGTGAAAGTAAATGTGCTTTTTCACGAGGACGGGTTGCACCGTTTGAATCCGAGTATATTGTATACTGCACCATTCTTATTCGTAAGCTGCACATTCTGTATGGCACGGTTCTCGTTACTCGAATATATATTTTGTTGTATACCACCATCGCTGGGTGGCAAACGACCCGTTTGGTAAGTCTGTTGCAAACCATGCTCGTTCTGTAACGGTGTCAAGTGGGAATCGTAGTTAGAATATATCTGTTGGTTGTCAATTGTTTGCGCTTGGTCTTTTGCGGTGTACAAATCATTTGCTCTTGTTTTGGTAGTTGAAAAACAAAACCCCTGGCAACTGATAAATGTATCTTGTTTCTGTAAAACTCGCCAGCATCGTCACCGTTACCACCTCGAACATAGTCAACAATCATTCATTTTGCTGAATAAAACAAAAAAATTATTACAAACATAAAGCACGCATTTCTAAATTAAATCAGTTTTCCGCTGATACAAAGGTGACGGGCATGGCATAATAAAAGTAGCATTAACCTTTCTTTTGTCTTTTATATTTTAGCAAAGTTAAAGTTAGTTTTCATTAAAAAATTAAAAACGTGTATCATCAGCGATAACCCTGTAGTAAAATAGTAATACTATAAATATATAACGATCTGCGGTCAATATTATTGACTAATATTTATCAAAATATTCAAATAATAACATGACATGTAGCATAAAACAAATATAGCTTAAAGAATATAGTATATCTAGGTTTGTAGTGCTGTATTCTGTCTGTTATTATATTCCTATATTAGGGAATGTGCATGACTATTTTTTATATTTTTACTAGCTAACCTGGCGAACTTCGTACCGCTTACTTTTTTCCATATGTTGCGACTATAAATTGAGACGTAAGCTATCATATCTTTCAAGTAAAATTAAACTAGTTGACCTGGAGAACTTCGTACCGCTTACCACATCTTTTTTTCCATATATTGCGACTGTAAATTGAGATGTAAGCTATGTTATCTTTCAAGTTGGATCAAACTGCACACGGTGTGCAAATTAGATTAAAATCGATTAAGTAGTTTAGGAGTCCATCCCGGACAAATAACGTGACGCGTAATTTATATATATATTAAGATTTCATATAAAAACATTCAACGTCGAAAAATATTGTTTATTTGTCTAACAAAATGTTGAAAATAGCCACTGCGCGAATTTGAAATACTCGGTATTTTGAAACTCTTGAGGAAATTCGGAGGTTAGATGCGCGCGCACGGCACACTCACACTAGGCCTCGTTGACTTTGACATATCCTGTGAACTGGCGCTTGTTTGTTGATGTGTTGTTCGGTATTTCAACGTAACTGTCGCTTTTCCGATATTTGAATTTTCCACAAGTTTTTCGCACTTTTCAATATTTAATTTCTTGCTCGAAAATAGATTTTATCAAAAAATATTTATGGAGGGACAAGTCAAAATTAATAGAGTGTATTTTAAAAATAAACGAGCCAGCCTTACAGTAGTCGCGTATGATGTGTTAGATTCGCCTTTGTGCCTTGGTCGTGAGCGGACGTGTGACCCGTGGCTCTGCAATAAGTATCATTATCGCGCAAATTCTGGACGAAAACGGCGCCCCCCTGCATACATTGAACTGATTATTCAAGGTACTGTGCTTTCTGTCCTTTTCTCGCTCCGCTGCAACAACGCCACCAGCGACGCGAAACAGAGACGGTTGTCATAATTGCTTTCTCGCTCTTTGCTTTACCTGCTTATGTGCTCATCGTAGCTCCGTAGCTGTGCCCGTATTCAGTAGTCAACTGTTACGCGCGTGCTACAAGAAAATCCATATCGAACAGTTGATATTCGGTTATAAGAACACATACGATGAATAAATCCGTCTCGGCGTCAAATGTAAGCGAAATGGAGAACGAAAGTACTCCTCCAAATTTTCCTCTATACCGCCCTAAGAGAATGAGAGAAGAAGATTTGCCTGCCGAATTTAATAAATTTAAGGATGAAAAGAGGGAGCTCTTTACCTCATTTATATCTACCCAACAAAGTCAAATACAGGGAATTATTGATGACTTGAAGGAAATACAGCTAACCAACTACAACATAGAAAATTCTATAGCTTTGCTCACAAGTCAAAATGAACAATTTCAACAAAAAATTGAGAGCCTCGAGGGCCAAACCAAGAAAGATCGCGAGTATATCCTAGTTCTGGAGAGCAAAATTGAAGATTCACCGAGAACCTCGCGCAAGACTAGTATCAAAATAAAAAATGTACCAAAACAAGAACGTGAATCCACAGAAGACCTGATCAACATGATACTGAGCTTAGCCAAAACAATCAATCTTGATATAGAATCACGTGATATAAAGGACATTTTCAGGTTACAGACTAAGAGAGAGGGTGGTGGTCGTAATACTCCAATTATCATAGAATTAGGATCAGTAATCCTAAAAAACAACCTTTAGAAAAGTATCAAATCATTTAATTTAAAAAATAAATCCAAACTTCAAGCTAAGCATCTCGGATATACAACTAATGAAGATACTCCTGTCTTCATTTCGGAGCAGCTGACCAGAAAAGGAGCCCGCCTGTTCTTTCTAGCACGAGACTTGGTGAAATCACACAGTTACAAATACTGTTGGACTTCTTTCGGCAGGGTTCTTGTGCGTAAAGATGACAAATCGCCAATCATTCACATCACTAATGAAGCACAGGTTCATCATCTGGCTCAGAATGCATGACTAACAAATCAAAGTGTTTTTTGTTGTATTTACCTTTTTTTTTATTACGCAGGTAAAAAATCTTTTTACAGACGACGGCGCCTCTAAGGGGCACACCGCCGAACGGACCTCACACCTGGCTCCCGCAAGTCTTACGAACTCCCATAGTGGATACCCACCTGGGACCCCGCAACTCTTACGGGCGCTTTACGGTATAATATCCGCTAAAAAAGTCCTTCGAATACCTTCACTACTGCCTGATGCGGTTCCGCGGGATCCCCGCTAATGGGGATATCTCCGCGTCCCCGCACCTAGCAGTTTCCCGGCCTCGCCGGGGCTCCACGGCAGGGGTCTCCCGCGGTGTTTCGGGGACCCCGCAGACGTGCGCAGGTAGGCCCGCGCGTGGGGGCTAAGTATGCGGCCTACTGCCCACCATACCGCTCCCCATCCGCTGCGGAGGGGACTCCTGGGCGTATCCATCCAAGAACCCTCCCTCCGCCGCCCCCCCTTTGTAGGGCAGAACCTACAGTGGGAGGGCCACCGTACCTGGGAGGGGGGAACGGCAGTGGAAGCGTAGTTCTTCCCGTCCCTGCCCCCCCTCCCGGTCGCCCGCGTCTCCCCACATCTTCTCCAAAGAGAAGAGGGGGGAAAGGCAGGCGACAGCATTCGTGGGGGGTCCGAGCGGCCTAGGCTACTCGGACATGCCCCCCTCTGAGGGCGTCCGTCCGGGCGCCGTCTCAGAGGCCACTCTTTCGGGAGGTTTGCCCTTGGTGACCGGTGGGTCACACCTCCCGCTCCCCATTATTTGGTCTGCCGGCCGACCATTCGCCGCGCATACCACACATCTGGTGGGTGCAGCACACGTCGCCGCCTTGTGCCCCGCTGCCCCGCACCGGAAGCACAGGGTGCCCAAGAGGAACGAACTCTTTGGCCGGCCAACGCGCTGCCGCGTGCCCCCTCTCCATGCACTTGTAGCAGTGCGCTCGCCGACTTAGGACGGTCACCTTGGCGAGACTCCATCCCACCTTTATTCTTCCCCCCTCTGCTACCTTCCGTGCGGCCCATGTGGGACACCGGATGAGCACTCCCCTCATTCCTCCCGGTCCTGGGTGAGCTCCCCCCGCAGAGATTTCATGCTCCGAGCAACCTCCCTCCCTGGCTATCGTCTTCTTTAGTTCGTCCAGCGTCACCGACTCATCGAGCCCGTTTATCTTTAAGTCGGCGCACTTTTCTGGCCTGCCTATCTCCGCGTACTCGCCAACCGCCACCTCCATTCGCTTGGCGAGGGCATCCGCTTTCTTCCTGTTATCAGGCCCCGATATGAGTAGGAGCCTTGATCCCGTCTGGCTCGTCTTTATTGTCAAGCCGTCGTCGATGCCCACGGACGGCAGCTCAATAGCCGTCCGTGCCATCTCCACGATGTTCGTGAAGGTGAAGCCCAGCTCCACCGCCCTGGGCTTCACCCTCAGTTCCACTGCGGCAGTGCTCGGCACCTTGATCTGTGGCCCACCTTTCTTCTTGTCCGGGACGCGCTTACTCTGCGCGACGGTCCCCTCCTTCCGCTCAGGGTTGGCTGCAGGCATCGCACTCGTGCCCTTGCCCTTCTCCCCTTTGGGACCACCACACACCATGGCTCCGTCGCTTTCGTCTCCGACGCGTACCCCACCTTGCAATCCGCCACCTGCGGCGGCCTGAGGACCTTCGGCGGTGGCAGCCTTTCCTCCAGAGAGGCCAGCCGAGTGCTGACCATCTCCCCTATGCTTAGCATAAGGGAGCGCTTCAGCTCCTCGACGGCCTCTGATGTCACCAGTTGGGTGGCCGATTGGTGCCCTTTCTCCACCGTCCTCCTCAAGGAGTCAAGGTCCTTTCTCATGGCCTTTAAGTCTGCCCTTAGGTCCGAGTTCTCCTCCCGGAGACGGGCGTTCTCGTCTGCCGCATCTTGTAGACGCTCTGCCGCCTCAGCCCTTATAACGACCTTCTCTATTATGTCCATCACCTCATCCACCTTCTTCTCGATCAGCTTGAGCGCCTTTTTATCGGTTTCCGCATCCTGAGCCGTTCCCCAGATAAGCGCCAGGCGCCTATCGATCTTCCCCTGAAGTTCCCTTAACGAGGGGTTCTGGGCGATATACCCCGTTCGGGTAGATTCTACCGATATAGAGTCTATGGAGAAGTCCAAGGGGGCTTGCCTCTCAGCCTTCCCCTTACGTCCCTTGCTTACCTTAGGTGGCAACGGTCTGAGACCCAAACCACCTTCGTCATCTCCTCCGCCTCTAAGGCGAAGGACACCTCCCTTGCACGCCTCGGTAACAAATTTACCACTGCGGGACCCGGTAAACTCGCAGCGCCGGTGGCCAGCCGGAGCGCATGAGCCGCTAGTAACCAATTTCCCACTCTGAGGCCCAGCTACCTCAGAGCGCCCGGTGTCAGCGGGAGAGCATGACAGAACTACTCCATTAGACGACATTTTCATAAGATTTTTTCCACTCTTCCGGGCGAGGGGAACCCTACCTAGCCTCATCAAAAGATTTTTGAAAAGGTTTTCTCCTTTCGGCTTCCACCCCGAGGGGTGGCAGCCCCCGTTCCCGCACCGCGTGCGGGGTAACGGGTCGGCCGGAGGTGGCGCGGAGTTCGCGCCACAACCGCCCTCACCAGGACAGGTGTTACCGCTCGACAAAATAAGGACAAAATAAGTTACTGTATGTTTGGGATGGGCATACAAAGGTAAGTTTTCACGAAATTTCGTGAAAAAAATTTTTTTTTTGCAAAAAATAAAAATCAAAAACCAAAAACTCGGTTATTCGCATATTTCACATAAATTTTGAGGTTATGTGAAAAAAGTGTCGATACAAAAGTTGTAGATCTTTTTACTACCTACAACTTTGCCATTTAACTTGCAGTTTTACCGGAAATCGAGATTAACCATTTTTTACCCTTAAAACTCACCCCCTCCCCCTTCCCGACCTCAGATCGCCCGTAATTTATTTTTCCTTTCATTTTTGTTATATTCTCTACCTTTTCTAATGGGTTTCATCCTACTATAATTTTTTTTGGTCTCAAAAATTATCTACCCTGGTCTATAATCTAAATGTAATTACACAGAATATAAGGAGTATTTACAGGAACCTGGATAATTTAGAATTGACCCTCTCACAATTACCTTGTGAAGCAGATATATTGATTTTAACTGAATGTCGACTAAATGTAAATAAGCAAATACCGCGTATAAGTAACTATTCATCTTACTATACGACAAAAAACCTGAATCAAAACGACGGTGTGGTTGCTTTTGTTAAGAACTGTCATCAGGCTGAAGTTGCTGAATTGAATTTGGATGACGCATCTGGACTAGAAATTAATATTTTTGAGCAGGTGATATTAGGTATATATAGGTCCCCGTCTAACATAAAAGCCGATAATTTTATAGATTCAGTTGGACGCCACTTAGAAACAATAGACTCATGTAAAAATATAACAATTATCGGAGATATAAACATAAACTGAATAGTCAAACCAACGGAAACCACTTATGAACATAATAATCGTTTGAAATACTTAGATACTTTATCTTTACTTGGCATGCTCCCAGGCCACTACTTACCGACTAGGAACAGTAGCTGTCTCGATCACGCGATTTTAAAAATTGATGAACATCGCCATTCTGCTTTTGTTGCAGTACTAAATTCATCAATTACAGATCATTCTATGATACTACTATGTCTAACAAATATACCTGATAAAAAAACAGTAAATACAAAATCTAAAATTATAGTTGACTATAAAAATGTATGCAAATCACTTTCTGCTGTTGATATCTCAAGTTTTAGCACCTATAAAGATCCTAATGCACTTGCGGACGCTTTGATTGGACTTATTAAATCTGAAATACAAATAAATACAAAAACAAAAATAATTCCTAACTCTAAAACAAAATTGAAACCTTGGATGAACACTGGAGCCTTGCGCTGTATTAGACTTAGGAATAAAATGCAATTGAAACTGAAATCAAAACCCCACAATGATATATTAAAATTTACTTTCAAGCGCTTTAGAAATTATTGCATCAACTTAATAAAAAAACTGAAACGTGAATACAATAGGAGAAAAATAGAAGCCTCTTCGAAAAATTCAAAGAAACTCTGGAACACAATCAATGAAATAACTCAATTTAAAGCTCCAAAAACATCTAGCTCTGCTCTTTTAAATCAGTCTATACAACCTCTTCAAACAATCAATAATATTAATCAATTCTTTGTTAATATTGGCAAGACATTAGCAGAAGAAATAACTCTAAATTATAATTCACAGCAATTCAGTCAAAATAATGTTGATTGTCAAGTTTCTTCATTTGTATTGCTTGATGCTGATCCACAAGAAGTTAATGACCTCCTTATGGGACTTGATACGGGCTGTGCTACTGGATGGGATGGAATATCTGTACTATTACTAAAAAGCTGTAGAGATTTTGTGGTCCCACTTATTACACAACTAGCCAATCTATGTTTCCATACTGGTGTGTTCCCTAGAGCTCTTAAGCGTTCTGTTACTCCTGTTTTCAAGAGTGGAGATAAAAGGGACATAAACAATTACTGACCTATCTCTGTACTTACTAGTATTTCTAAAATAATAGAAAAACTATTGAATAATAGACTCTTGAACTATTTAACTAAAAATGAAATATTATCAAGTTCTCAGTACGGTTTCAGACGGGGAATATCAACGGAGAACGCAGTCATAGATTTAGT